TATTCTGTCTTTTAAAAAGACAGTGACACCAAATAAGTTAATCTGGGTATAGGAGTAATTGAGGGTAAACTTCATTGTTTTGTGAAAGGTACTGGCATAGGAAATAAAATGAAATATATGTCATCCGTCTAATGTTTTCATGTATGAGGTTTTAGGAGACTTTGTTGCAAAAGCTGGCTTTCATTACAGCCCACAAATATATCGACATATTTAGTAGCCATTTTGGTTCCCACTTCAGTACCATTAATCTCAAGGTAATGTTGGTTATTGAAGTTAACATTTTCCAACAATGAAAATGTATTTTTGATAGATAATTATTGACACTCATGTAATATCTTTCCTTGATTTGTGCTGCCCTCCGTATACATAGCTTTTACTCATCACTAGCCTTGAGGCTTCCATCAACATCACATGTTTACACATGGTAGAGGGAGAACTATATACGACAAATTCATCCAGTCCAAAACCAGGCAGAATCAAAAATTTTTAGGTTCAGTCACAGTAGGATGAGAATACACACCATCACTCTACTCTCTACTGCATAGAAGTGGTCACACTCAGGGGGAAGCCTCCATGATCCACCACCCCAGTGGCTAAAAAGTGAAAAGGACTCCTGTACTCAACTAGAAGAAGGGGGGGGGGGATAAGATGGAGAGTCCAGAAGAATGAAACACCTTAGGACTATCTAATGGGTGATCAAGACAACCCTAATTTGAAAAGCAGGCCAGTCCTACTTCATTCAACTAGGACCAGAAAGATCCCAACATTGCTTTACTCATGATAGTCCATGAGTTCGTACAATCTGGCAGAGACCCTGTTTATGAAGCAACATAATGAGAAGTCCTCAAACGGTATTGTGAAACACCCCAGTGAGCATCACAGACTTTGATAGTACATGGTGCAGATTTAAAGTTAAATATACTCTGGCAGGCAAAGGATCCAGAAATGTTGAAATAGGCCATTGTAAAGGTAACATATATAGAAAGAGAACCTACTCATTCAGAGCCAGTACCAGGTATGGAGAATGGTGATGGGGGCAAACAATATCTAGAGAAAGAAGCAACCAGATGACGTAGGTAATGTGCAATGAAAGTGTGAGACATAATCCACATGCCAGTCTGCACAATTTCCTCCAATGGATGACAGAAGTGAGCAGCGGAAATAGATAGTAATGAAGATGGTGAGAGAAAACTTGAAATATGTGATGAGAATCCTCGTCCAACAACGTGTAAACCAAATGCCTTAGTTGATGGAACCAAGTCTTAAGAGCAACTGGAGAAAGATCCCAAGTAGAAGATCGACACCACAGATGTCTTTGAGAAAAAGCATGGTCATGATAAAGAAGAACATAGGAATGATGATAAAGAATTTGGGAAACATCAATAACATACACACCTGACCATCGATATCTGCATGCAAAAAGGAGTAAAGAATATGTCTTAACAGAAAGATGATACAATGAACAAGAACCTAAAGATTCAAAGGGAGAGGGGATAAGGTTATGAAAGACAACATTTAGATTCCAATCCAGAAGAGTAAAAGGTCAAGTAGGACGAAGAAGGCAAAAAGACCTAAAAAAGAGAGAAAGGACAGATGATGAGAAGACATGATAAAAATGGAAAAGTGAAAAGTATTGGACAGTGATGCATTACAGCCCACAATGGTAGAAATGAAAAAACTGTTGTCGAAGAGTGATGTGAAAAAGTCAGAAAGATGGGAAACAGTAGGTTTGGAAGGAGAGAAGCCAAGACACAGAAACCAATGATAAAAATTGCATCATTTACATTGGTGAACAGGTAAGGAAGAATGAACAGAAGTAAAAAATACTGAAGTTGCAATGAAGGGGAGAAGCCAAGACACAGAAACCAATGATAAAAATTGCATCATTTACATTGGTGAACAGGTAAGGAAGAACGAACAGAAGTAAAAAATACTAAATGTGGAAAGAGTCTGGAGCACCTTGTAAGGGACCAGACAAAACCCATGCATGAAGACAGAGCATGGATATCATTGGATGAGGGAGGGAGGAATGAGGTTGCTGGAGGATGAATGTAGAGATAGGAAGCAGAAAGAGGGAAAATGACTGGAGAAGGCTCAAGAATGGAAACCATGCTGGGGCCAGCCAGAATGGAGCAGTTTGAATTGGGGAAAGTACCATGGGGAGAAGACAGATAGGAGGATAGGCATATAGATACAGGTTGAAGCAATCCTGACTGAGCACATATACAGCAATCGCTGAATGATGCATAACAGGGTACCATAACAGAGGAAGTTTGATATTAAGGTGAGTGGCAAAAGCATCCAGGAGAGAAGTACCTAGCTGTGTACACAGCTACTGGAACACCTGAAGAACAAGGAACCACTCCATTGGGAGAATCTTATTGGGAGGAGAAAGACAATCAGCAACAAGATTCAGAGTGCCTAGGATGTGACAGGCAATTAGCTGAACTTGTCAGGATTGGGCCCAAAAAAAGGAGATTGAGTATTTGAAGTCAAAGGAAACATGAAGGGGTGCCTTTTTAACAACTGATATAAGCAATAATGGTCAGTTGTAAGAAAGGATCATGACAAGGCACCCACAGACCACTGGAAAGAAATGATTCCATAACCAACAAAGAGCCAGGAGCTTTAAGAAATTGATGTGGATAGTTGATTTGAGCACAGACCAGTTATCTCCTCAGAGTCCAAATGCACCCCCCAACCCATCAGAGATACATCTGTAAACACATGAAGATCTTGACAAGTAGGAAGAAGAAGAATGCAAGCTCAAGTGTTGTTTTTTTCAAGCCACCAGGCAAAGTCGACCTGCCAGGGATGATGAATGAAAGAGTTTAAGGGTTCCCAAGTAAGATTCCATTGAGCATGCAGCACCTATTGAGAATGACACGTGTGCAAAACCCTAAGAAATTAGAGATTCCATGAAAACTCAAGTCTGCAAAAAAGAGTGAACTCCTTATGCAGTGAAAGAAGTTATGGGTTTTGATACCAAGTGCTCTATGTCCTGCAAATGAAGTTGGGCCCTACTGAGTTAGTTGAAAAACAGCTCCAAATAACTAAAGTATTGAGTGGGGGTCAGATGCGACTTCTCCAGTTTAATAAGCCACCTGATGGAAAAGGAGATGGGTTATGGTTTCAAGAGGCTTGTTGAAAGGTGCCAATTGTCCACGTAATTGTGAAACTGCAGTTCCAAGTTGTGAAGGCTCTGATCATCCGACAGAAGACATGGAGCGGATGCCAGATCAAATGGAAGAGCAGAGTATGGAATTGAAATATCTGACCCCTGTGAACAAACTGAAAATAACATCTGGACAGAGGGGAAATAGGAGTGTGCAGGTAAGCATGAGATGTCAACGTTGGTCATCCAAAGTCCTAGAGTGAAAGACCATCTGAGGTTGCAAAAAGACTCCACGGTGAAATAAGGGAGGTTGATGTAGCAGTTTAGGCTTGAAAGATCGATAAAAGGATGCCAATAACTAGTCTTCTTGGGGACAATGAACAGATGGAAATAAAAGCCATCTGGTGGGGGTAGGAAAGAAGATCATATCATTTTTACCTGAAGTTCAGCAGAACGGAGGGAATCCAAAATCTTCCAATCAATGAACGAGACACATGAGAACAATGTGATAAATTGTGTGACTGATCCAGGAACCCAACATCTGGATGACTGACATAATAAAGATGTCTCTGTAATGGAAACTAACCTACTCAAAACCATCCTACAGGAACTGCCCTCAGTGCAATAACATCCTAAGATAGCAGAAGAGGAAAGACCATATTAATCTGCAAATTTGACCCACAACACGATTGGAGGGAACAAGAGTATAACTGAGTGAGGAACAGACACACCTATAATACGTGTGATGATTTATATTATTGGTTCAGCTCTAAATCCAAAACCTAGCAACTGGAAACTGACATCCATGAGAAGGTAAGATGAAGAATACAAATTGAAAGGGTGAATTGCAATTATGATGGCTCACTCCAAAGCTACAACATCCTCTTGGATAAATCCATCCAGAGATTGATAGGAAAATTAAAAATTAAAGAAAAACCTTTCAAATTTTGTAATTTAAATTAAATAAAGTTATATACAGAAAAATTACAAATTACAAAGTCTACACCTAAATTCATATTTTAGCATTTGTAAGCATGTTGCTTTTTTTTTTCAATATTTCGAAGTCATCACTTATTCAGTCACAGCACTTGAATTTTCACATATTTTGTACATCAACAATACAAAAAACATCATTTTCATGAGTACTATAACTTCCAAACAATGAAATGTGTAACAAGCATGTGTTATAAGAGCTGCAGGTGTCTCAAGCAATACTAATTCTGATTAAAACAAATCTTTAAAGTCTCGAGCACACACATGTGCACACATTGTCAAGTGTCTGGAAAAACCAAGGTGTGAAAATTTACCATGGCAGCATTGAAATTGTTGTATGCATTTAGAAATAATCAGTTATTGGCTGATTATTTTTGTGAAAATCAATTTAATCGTAATTTCTATTGATTGATTGTTGGACTAACCGAAAACAGTAATAATCTGAAACACTGGTTTTGATCAGCTGATTATTTTCGTGACATTTATCTATAGTACACTAATCAATATAATCGCCCAGCTCTACAAATATTGCTATCAAAAGTGGCAACAAATGTATTTCTGAAACTTCTTTTTAGTACCACACTAAGAGTGTAGGAATGGGCATTTTATATAACTGATACTTGAAACTGTCCTTACTTCGTGAAACTCTATAATTACAGAATTGAGAGAAAAACAAAGATAATTGCACGTTTCACAAATACTTCATTTATTGATGACCATGGTTTTGCTAGTAAAGGCACCATCAGGTACTTTTACTAGCAAAACCATGGCTATGAGTAAATGAAGAATTTGTGAAATATGCAATTATCTCTGATTTTTCTTCAATTCTGTAATAAGCATTTTCTTTATGTACATACACTCATATTTCAAAAGATCTGTGCAATCAACTTACTTGTTATATTTTCAGAAGCTGGGGAAATATCACTGAATTCCTCTTTTTCCACTGTGTTAATAACCTTCTGTTGAAAAAATTCTTCCTTAGCACTGGGTATTGAAAATACAGATATTAAAGAAAGATGTTTCTTTTCAGAAAAGTTATTGAATGATTTCTTAGACAAGTTTTGTTGAGGACTGGTTATGAGTGATTTTGAAAATTCATTAAAATCCACTTTCATAGTCAACTGATCTGACAATTTCTGAGTAAAAAAGCCTAGTGAACAGTTAAATGATGGTGGCATATATAGTATCACAGAATTATCTTTATTAACAAAGTTAGTGGACAGTTTGTTTAAACTGTCGCAATGGAAATTTGACAAATGAAAATTATCACTGCCACTTCCATTTATAAAGTTCTGAAAATAAGGTACATGTGTGTATGGTTTAAATTCTTCAAAACCAGCTTCATTTTTATCTTTACAATAAATTAATTTCCTGTTTATATTTTGAGAGCTGGTGGGCATTGATAATTCAGTACAGTCTTCAATTCTTTTGTAGTCATTGACACAAGTTGAGTTCATGGGTATAGTCTGAGCATCATGGAAAGGGACCAAGTTATCCAATTTGTTTTTATAGTAACATGTAGGTATATCGTTTATTCTTTTTCTTTGCACAACATTCTCACACAATGACAGTAAAGGTATAGTTTCTGAACAATCATCAGATACTGGTCTTAAAGATTTTGTTTGAGGGCTACTAACTAGGATTGGTTTTACAGGTGTTTTCTGCAGACTATTTATAGATGTAGGCTTTTCAAATCTTATTTCAGGGATGTATATGGATAAAACATCAGTGGAACTTTCTGAGCCAAATTTATTTGTATCAAGCCGTTGAAAACACATCCTAGAAATACTTGATATTTCTGATGAATCTTGATAAATGCCCTTGGAATCTTGGGCTACAGCATATTTTTCAAAAGATTTTGGCTGAGGGAAGGACATTAGTGAGATATTATGATCATCATCTTTTTCATCCACTGACTGGGATTCTGAAAACACAGAAGTATTATGGATGATTTTGCTATCACTGCACTTTTCAAGTACCTGTGTTTCATATACTGGTTGAACATTCCGTGATGGAAGATCATGCTTGAGCACAGGAAAACTTTCTTGTCCCTGCAAACTTTTATTCATATTTCTTGAAGTGAAACCCCCTTGTAAAAACCTATTTTTTTTAATATTTTGAACATCATAAAATTCAACTTGGTCAAATCCAGAATTACAAGATTCCCAGCCATGTCGAGCCACGTGTTTATTGTTCTCTCTTACTGCTGTCTTAATTATTTTGGGTAATACTACTTTTCTTTTAAACTGGGGTTCAAGATCCTCTAGAATTTGTGATTCTGCATCTTCAAACCATTGACATAACTACAAAAAAAAAAAAAATCTAATAGTTACAATTATACATGTAAATAAAACTTAATTTATTTTGTCAGCTTTAAAGAAATTTATATAACTAAAGTATTTTCAAAAACTGTGTGAATAATTACACTATAAATACTCACGTATACACATACTTGTGTATTTCATGAAATTTGAGTTGGAAATTTAGAGCAATTAAATTCTTAATACATCTAGAAGGAAATTTAATTATTTTGACAGTTTGTATTTTGTACGGAATCAGTCATGGTTATTTTATCTAGTCAGCACTTAGTATATCATTTATCAAACTGATAAAATTATAACACTGTTTTTGGTCAGTAAATTTTCTCTTTACAAAACTGGCCAAAATACTTAAAGAAAATCATTTGTAATTAACCTATTTTTGAGCTTAATCTCAGCAGATGCTGAGTCCAAACTGTAAGGTACATACCGTATTTTTCGGTGTACAAGACGCACTTTTTTTACCCCAAAATTTGATGTCAAAATCTGCTTGCATCCTATACACCGAAGGTATGAATAATATATGTGTATATATATGATATACACAAGCCATGTGTAAATATATTTAAATAGGCGTGCATAGTTTAGTTCAATTGAATGTATTATTTATAACAATAGTAGCTTTTTTTCTTTTAAAAACATAACTATTTATAATGCTCCCTAAATAATAAAAAAATAAATTACAGTGAAAGCAATGAAGATTTTGTAGGTTTTGAACCAAACTAAATAGCAGTAAACTTTTTTTGATTTACGGTATTTTCTTATTTTGATGTTTTGAGCTCATTTGTGTTTAGAACAATATATACTAATTTTTAAAGTATCAAATTGAATTTTTGTTCAATAAAATCTTTCAAATGCAGCTGTAGCTTTTTTTTCCCCAAAACTTTGTCTTCAAAATAAGAGTGTGTCTTATATTCCGAAAAATATGGTACTTAAAAGTATAGAATGTATGAATATCTTTAGCAAGTTAAGCCCATATTCCTAGACCACAAGCGAGTTGAAGGAGGATTAATTAATCTTCGAGCACCCCAGATTAGTAATTATTTCTTTGGAAATAATTATTTTCAAATCTAAATAACTGCCAGGAAAAATGAAAATCTATCTTTAGCTTATGTGTAGCAACTTAATGAAAATGTAATTGGTCAATATATAAGCCATTTAGTTGTGATATAATGTGAGTGAAGAACAATACGAGTTTGATATAATGCTAAACAAAGTTACAAATCAAACACTTTCTTTAAAATAAATTGTAATTAAGTCACTCAAAGCAAGAAACCTCAACCACATAAAGTAAGTGTGAAGTAAATGGTACATACAATACAGCACAAGACTTGAGCCAGATTTGTGAAAAAATTTCAATGTTGCAATAGTACAGTACAAAGAAGTAAACAGTAACATAAATCATGTTTTAGTTAAATGCTGTATATACTTTCACTATTGTCAGGTTTTTATGTATGTGTCGGCTGGATTCTTTACAGTAGGTGTCTATAACTGAACCATTCAGTTTTTATATATGTGTGGGCTGGATTCTTTACGGAAGGTGTCTATAACTGAACCATTCACTTGTTAGAACACAACTAATAAGATGAATTATTCTCCTCTGCTCTGTTGTTACAATACATTTAGTGAAAAATTCAGTTATGTTACACTGTTGGTTACCACAGTTGTATCCAGAGTTGTAAATAATTGTTTGTTCAATTACTTTAGAACACAATTAACAAGACAATTTTTTCTTCTCCACACTGTTGTTACAATATAATCTGTGATAGTTCATTTTAAAAAAATGGCACTATATGCTCTTTACAGCTAAACTCACAATCTAGATCTGTCTACTTCTTACTAAATTTATCTTACTTGAACTACATTTTGTCTGTAAATCTATAGCCTGACTGAGGACTAGAACTTTCTACACACTACGAGATATTATGATGTAATAATACTCTATCTAAACAAGAAAAAAAACTTAGAAGGTTCTAATAACATAATGCAATAATACAACAAGCAACAATTAACAAGAATTGAACTACACAATGTACGAAAACAAACCTGGAATAAACTATCACTTCTAAAAAAATAACTAAATTTAACAATTGTGCTATACTTAAACCATCTAAATCATAACACTTGCAATCTTAAACACACTTAAACAATTGTGTATCTAACCACCATCATAAACTTTACTTTTCTAAAATGATCAGTTTTAGTCTTTTTATACATATTCCAAACACGTACTTGCATAATGAAATCTTCAAATTATCAACACTGATCAATGTTGTTATATCCCAATCAATACAAAATTCACAACACATCCAGCATATCTTATATTTATATCAGACATTTGTGAGTCACACGCACGCACACACATGACCAGTGTAAGTATATGAGATACACAATGTAATTTTTCCACTAACCCTCCAGCAACTCTTATGAGCATTAAGTGCAGTATGTAAGAGCAATTTAAAAGTACTGGTCTTTTTACATGCTGATGAAGTAAACTATGGTGGTGAATCTTTCACTATACACACAATAACTTACAATAAAAAAGAAATCTGATACTGATTATTGAAATAATTAAATCATTTGAAGAAAATTTACTAACTTGAAAACTATTTACTAACTATGAAATATAATATAAAGAAAATATGAGATACATCACATTGATATAATAGATTATTAAACTTTATATTTGCTATGCTTAGGACTATATTTGCATATTTAAATACAGGTACTCATCTACTATAAATAGGAGATGATTTAAGTTTATTTGTTCCTTATGCATGGCCACATTTGTGAACATCATCAAATCTAATTTTGCATAGCCACCTCACTTAGTTTTCCTGCTGGCCATCTACACAATACTTAAATGAGCTGAAACTTGATATGCAGGTACCTAAGACTAAATAAAGATGCTCTGTAATCAGTCAAAGATTATCAAAAGATTATTTCAGAAGTTTGGTTTGTTTTATTTTAATTTCACGCAAAACTATACAAAGGCTATCTGAATTAGTCATCTCTAATTTAGCAGTGAAACACTAGAAGGAAGGCAGCTATTCATCACCACCCACTGCCAACTCAAACAAGCCCTCTTCAGGATCTCATCAGCTGAATTTACCTTTGGCATGAGGTCATTGGAATTCTATTTCACTGTGTGATCTGTATAAACTTAACTTTCTATTAATGAGTAAGTTGACCTAGATTATTCCTCCTTTCTCAAACTCTGTAAAATCTCACGAGCCATTACAAACCTTTTACAAGACAGTTCTTCTTTGTATTAGCATCTTGCCTTGTCAGAGAGCTAATAACTACATATTCATCAAGCAAATGCACAGCATATAAAAGAGAAAGAGAGATGTTTAACATTCTATGGCCCAAGGGGTCCAATAAAGTCAAAAAGTTAATTCACTTGATAGGAGCTCACATAAGGCTGGCAATAACTGGGAAAAGCAGATAAAAAGTTCATGATACAAAGGAATAACAAAAAGAACAATATCAAATCTTGGTTCCTTTTATCAAACTTAGGCTTCTTTATTATATTCATTTTTGTCTTTTTGAAGAAGTAACACCATTTTCAAAATCTCAAATTAGCCATGCCACCAAAAAAATGGTCTAACATAAGTTATTCCTCCTTTTCTGCATGAAAGATGCAAGAAACAAGATCATCAGAAACAGCTGAACAGAGAGAGACCTGTCTTGAGGACCAAAGAACCAGTCAAGCGGTTAATCGAAATGAAAAATCAGAAGAGAAAAGAGAGCACCAAGAAGCCCACCATAAGAGGGAGACAGCTGAAAACCAGTAATCCTTGTTGAATAGTTTGCATCAAAAATATAAATTACATTTATCACACAAGACTCCTGTCCAAAGGGAAGATCACTTATCTATTTTACAGATGCGACAGTCTTTGAGATTAGCTGCTACAGCTCAATCCCAAGAATGGTAGTAGAGTGGCTACAGACTGCTTATAATTATGATCCCACCATCCAGTATGCATCACATCCACTGGTAAACATTGGTAGCATGAATATTGCCTGTAACCTCTGTGGGGCAACAAACATGTAAAGGAAAAACACCAGGAATGTGTTGCTCCAATGGAAAGGTAAGCCTGTCACCACTTGATGAGCCTCCAGAACCTTTGAAATCTCTGATTACTGGCACAACATAGACAGAGGTACTGCTGCACCAAACATTATTCAGAATTGCCATTTGATTGTCTGGGATGAGTGCACAATGTTACACAAAATGGTCTTTGAAGTGCTTGACCATACTCTGCAAGACATTCATGGAAACAAATCCATCTTGGGTGGTATTACTTTTGTCACAGCTGGAGACTTCCATCAAACCTTGCTGGTTATTCCAAGACGTACATAAGCACATGAAATTTGTGCATGCATCAAAGCTTCTTACATCTTGCATTAGATTGCTAAACTAAGTGTTACAACAAATATGGAAATGCACTTATATGGAGACCAAACAGCAGGAAAATTTTCTAACACTTTACTTCAGATTGGTAATGGTCACATTCCAGTTGATAAGTCACATAACCAAACACATATCCCCCGTGGAAAACTTGTCACAACTGAAGACGAGTTAAAAGCAAAGGTCTTCCCCAATGTCAAGGAACATTTCAGAAGCCACTTGCCATTCTTCCCCTAAAAATGAACAGTAAATGAAATTAATTCTTCCTTGCTAAAACAATTACCTGGCCAAACAAAAAAACTACCATTCAGCTGATTCTGTGATAAATGCTGAACCAGCTGTTCACTATGCAATAGAGGTGTTAAATTCTCTTCTTGGGTTCCTCCAAACAACTTGAAGCTTAAGGTAGGTGCACCCATAATGCTCCTCCATAATTTCGATCCTCCTAACTTTGCAATAGCACTGAACTGTGCATCAAACAACTAATCTCTCATGTTTTGGAGGCCACAATCTTCACTGAAAGTTCTAAGGGTGAGGATGTATTCATACCAAGAATACCCATTATCCCTACAGATACTCCTTTTGAATTGGAACGCTTGTAGTTTCCAGTCCATTTAAGTTTTGCCATGTCTATTAATAAGGGTCAAGGACAGTAATTGAAAGTAGTTGGCTTGAACCTGTTGTCACCATGTTTCTCTTACAGACAATTATATGTTGGATGTTCTAGAGTTGGTAACCCAAACAATCTGTACATTCTTGCACCACACTGCAATACTTTGAATGTTGTTTACACTGAAGCATTGAGCAACTGATGATGTTTTATTAGCACTAAAAAAATTAAGTTGTCATTTTTCTGTGCATTTAAGCTATGATATGCCTGTCAATTTCTCGTGTAGTTTTGTAAAAGAATAAAAGCACAAAGGATTTCAAATGGAAGACTAATAGCTCATTAAATATGCAACAATTCTTTGTCCCAGAGAATGCCTGGTACATTTGGTTAGTATTACTACAAAACTTAAATATCTCTATGCCTAACAAAGCTTATAACTCAAAATTATTGTAGGTATTTTACTGATAAATATGAAACTAGACTTCCAGATTTTATTCAATATAATATTACATACCTTTGCTTTTGAAAAACTTGCTACACAATTTTCATTTCTTCTCACCATGTCCTTTAGCTAACAATAAAAACAATGAATTACCAGTTGTTTTATTTTTGTTTTTTGCTGGATAAAAAAATATTTCATACACTGCATCTACATAAGAGAACCTAAAATCCTTTACCACACTCAAACTAATTCCATAAGCCATCATAGAAATGTCAAATACACTAATAATAATCCAGGATGTGACAACTATTCTGAAATGTTGTAGCATGACAAAAATTAATGCTTGCATCTTAGAATTTCTTTCTTCACCATTTCACCACATAAATGTCCCGGTGTGGTTTACTAGTACTCCTTTCCTTGAGATGAATGAGAATAAATTATATTTACAATAAGAGTTAATCCAATCATATTAACCCTCTCACTCCGGGTACCTTTTACTGTGCATGACAAAAGGTTTTAGTGTCTTACATTCAAAAGTTTATTAAACTACTTTTTGTTTATGTTAAAACAATTAGAATAGCATAAAATCTTAGATAATAATCCATATTTTAATAGTATATAAGTTTAAAGTTGTTAATTCTACCAGAAAATGTATAAAAAATCCTGAATTTCCACTAGTGTGACCCATGTGAC